CACTATTGGTGAATGCCATTTTGTGCTCGACTGCCAGAGCGTGATTGATGGGATTCGTCATGGACCCCAATGGAAGCATGAGGCAAATTCGGCTGCGTGGCTCGATTTCTGGGAGGCCTATGAAGGCCATCCAGGGCCGTGCCAATTTGAAAAGGTATCCAGGCGCCTGACTGAAGTCGCTCTGCAAGTGGCTATCCAGACCCCATCCCTATACTCGGCGACCTCTAGAGCTGATCGTGTGGCCCGCTGTCGAGCGTCAAGGACCCAGCGTCAATCGAACGTTGAGCAAGCACTGCAGGAGACCACACACAGCGTGATCGAGAAGGGGGGGTATAAATTATGTATTGTCTGCCGCGGGCGCCCTACCAAAGAGTGTGGGACACTGGAGTGGCTTGCCTCGCATTGCCAAGGTCGGCCGCACCAGATCCATCAGAGCCACGATGTGTCTTGTACTCGTGAACTCTGGTGGTGTCGCAAGTGTGGGGCTTACAGCAGTGCAAAGATAAGCGCAGGGTTGCAAGGCACCTGCCACCGCCCAACAGACTGGGGCAAGAAGGTGCTGTCCAAACTCATGGATGGCCGCCTCCCCCCAGGTCTGAAGACTTGGCCAGACGAGCTTGGCAAGGGGCTGGGTGCAAGGTGTTTTCACGCGCGCGCCGTCCCTCCGCGTCATGTGCGGACTTGGGGACTTGGAGTGTGCGCCAGGAGGAGGAGGAGGAGGAGGAGGAGGAGGAGGAGGAGGAGGAGGAGGAGGAGGAGGAGGAGGAGGAGGAGAGGGGAGAAGGGGGAGGGGGAGGAGGAGGATGAGGAGGAGGAAGAGGAGGAGGAGGGGGAGGAGGAGTAGGAGGAGGAGGTGGAGGAGGAGGAGGAGGAGGGACGAGAGGGAGGAGGAAAGGGAGGAGGAGAGGGGAGGAGGAGGCGAAAGATTGGTACGAGCTGAAATGAACGCTGTGAAGGAGGATGATGATGAGGAGGCGGAGGAGGAGGAGAGGAAGGAGGAGGAGGAGGCGGGAGGAGAAGAGGGAGGAGGAGGAGAAATAGGACGAGGAGGAGGAGGAGAAGGATGAGAAGGAGGTCCCCGCGCCGCCGCGGCCCTCCGCTCTTCGGGGGGGCCGCCGGAGACAGAGACTTGCTGTTGCTGCGCACCTAGCAGCTCGCCCTCCAACTTCTTCGCGATCACGACAGCGACCACGAAGACCGCGGCAAGGACCACGACGGCGGTGACGACCGACGGAGACGACCCCGACGGCGGCGAGCACGACGACGGCGGGCGACCTTCGCGGCGTCGCAGATTTAGAAGGAAACCAACGACACAAGCGTAAACCTTTGGCGCTCCGCGCGGACTTCTTGGATCCGCGCTGGACCCCCCTCCCTGGTGCGCGGAGCGCGCCAGGCGCGGCGCCAGAGGCACCGCCAGGGGGGCCCAGCGCGGGTCCAACATATCCGCGCGGAGAGCCGAACATCGATACTTATGCCGTTTTTCTCTTTCTTCTTCGAAGGTGGCCTCGAGCCCCGCGAAAGGGGGCTAGGGACCGACTGCGGCGGCGTCGGGATCCGCTTTCCCCCTCCCCCCGGCGCGACGAGACGCGCGGCAAGCCGCCGCCACAGAGGTGCCGCGGAGTCTCCGCCGCCGCCGCAGCCCACTGCGGGCCACTCTGGCACGGAAGTCGCAGGTCGAGGGCACCGTCGGGAGGCGCTGCCACGACCGCCTCCTCCTCCTCCTCCTCCTCCTACATCCTACTCCATCCTCCTCCTCCATCCTCCTCCTCCTCCTCCTCCTCCCCCTCCCTCCCCTCCTCCCTCCTCCCTCCCCTCCTCCCTCCTCCTCCTCCTCCTCCTCCCTCCTCCCTCCTCCTCCCGCCTCCCGCCTCCCGCCTCCCGCCCCTCGCCTCCTCCTCCTCCTCCTCCTCCTCCCTCCTCCTCCTCCTCCTCCCTCCCCCCTCCTCCCCTCCTCCTCCTCCCCCTCCTCCTCCTCCCTCCTCCTCCTCCTCCTCCTCCTCCCTCCTCTCCTCCTCCTCCTCCTCCTCCTCCCCCTCCCCTCCCCCTCCCCTCCTCCTCTCCTCCTCCTCTCCTCCCTCCTCCCTCCTCCTCCTCCTCCTCCTCCTCCTCCTCTTCCTCCTCCTCCCCTCTCCCCTCCTCCTCCTCCTCCTCCTCCTCCTCCTCCTCCACCTCCTCCTCCTCCTCCTCCTCCTCCTCCTCCTCCCCCTCCCCCTGCCTTCCTCCCTCCTCCTCCCTCCCCTCCTCCATCCCCCTCCTCCCTCCTCCTCCTCCTCCCTCTCCCTCCTCCCTCCTCGTTCCTCCCTCCTCCCTCCTCCCCTCTCGCCTCCCGCTCCCGCCTCCGCCTCCTCCTCCTCCTCCTCCTCCTCCTCCTCCTCCTCCTCCTCCTCCTCCCTCCTCCCTCCTCCCTCCTCCCTCCTCCCTCTCCTCCTCCCCTCCCTCCTCCTCCTACCTCCTCCCACCTCCCACCTCCGCCTCCTCCTCCTCCTTCTCCTCCTCCTCCCTCCTCCTCCCTCCCCCTCCTCCTCCTCCTTCCTCCTACCTCCCTCCCCTCCCTCCTCCCTCCCTTCTCCCCTCCCTCCCTCCCCCCCTCTCCCCATCCACGCCAGCGACGGCCCCGTCTCTGCAGAGGCCGCCGCCCCGCCCCCCGGCGCAGGCCCCCAGCAGCTGCCGCGGCGTGGGGCGGGCACCTCCTCCAGCCCGGCCCCGCGCGGCCCCGCCGCGCGCGCGCGGAAGCGGCGCCTCCGCCCCGGGGCCTGGGCCTCGGGGCCTCGGGGCCTCGGGGGAAGGAGAAGGAGGAGGAGGAGGAGGAGGAGGAGGAGGAGGAGGAGGAGGAGGAGGAGGGGGATAGCAAAGAGGGGGTTTGAGAATCAGCTCACGCAGCTGATTCTCCTAGCGCCTCCCGGCGCCGGGACGCGGCTGATGTATCGAGGAATGGGCCCCTGGGTGAGGCCCCAACCAGCTGCATGCAATAAATTTCATAACCCCCCCTTTCCCAATCCCCCCCTTTCGTCCGGCCCGAGCCTCGGGGTCTCGGGGCCTCGGGGGGGGGGACGCGAGGCGGGCCGAGAGGAGATCTGGATTGCACGCAGGTCGGGGCCAACCTGCACGTCTCTTCGGCGCAGCGCTGCTTGCAGAGGCGGCGTCGGGGGGGGGGAACCTCATGGGTGGCAACTGACGTCGTAATGGAAGCTGTGGGTTCTTTGCCTGGGTCGGGCATGTCACCCCCTACAGGCGGATTTTGGGCGAAAAGTAAACCATAGTCCGAGCTAATTCCCCCCAGAAAATAAGGTAGACAGACCGTTCCCAGGCTATTCTTTACTATTTCTGAACATTCCTCCTGCAGAAGGACGTGCCCGACTTGATTCTGTGCGCGGATGGCCCAATGCCCCGAGTGGGGTCTGGCCGAGGCAGCGACAGCATCGCAAGACCAGATGCCGAGGGCTGCGATGCCACGCTGAGGCATGCGAGGTTGAGACAACCCCCTCTGGGCTTGATTGCTATCCACTGCAGGCTGACACCACACACATTCACTCACGTACACACGTACACACACACACTTAACAGTTGCTTTCCTGCGGGTAGAACCAAAGCAGCGAATGCTGGAGCGGGGCACAAAAGCATTGACACTCGCAAAGCAGAGTGTGCGACCGGCGGCTAGGCAAAATAACTGTGCTGGCGAAGGGCTAACTAAACCGGGGTACCTCTGTAGCGAACTTTGCCACCGTACAGGGAGAGGGGGGAGACACACACACACACACACATACACACACAAACGCACGCACGCACGCACGCACGCACGCACGCACGCACGCCGGCACGCACGCAAGCACGCACGCACGCACGCACCCACCACACACACATACACACACACACACGCATCTGGCCATCGCTCGAACGTCCATTCCCTGTGTTTTGTTCGGTTTCGTGCGTGGTCTGTTCGCCAAATGATCAAAGATGCTCCTCGATGGTCCTCGCCGAAGGAAACGTGCACACGTCCGAGCGATGCCAAGGCACACACACAGAGATCTTTCAGCGGCCGCAGCCTCGCGCGCAGCGGCGAGGCGGAGAACGCCACCGCACGGGCGGGCGCGCGGGAGACGCGGACCGCTCGAGGCAGAGCACGTGCGCGCGAGTGTGTCCAGCAGGGCGGCCTGTGCAGCCAGACTGGGGGGGGCCCTTCTGCGCAGGACGCAAAGGGCCTCCCGCTTTCGGCCGAGGCGTGCCCCGTCGCGGAGCGGACCACTATTGATTCATGGTGCGGGGGGTGAGGGATGACGAACAAGTGAGTGGCAGCGGAGTGGGGTGGGGGAGAAAGAGGAGACGACGGAGACGGAGGGGCCACACGCGCAGCCTACTCCAATCGCGCTCTGCAGAACTGCGGCTTGAATCTATCACTGAGCGGAAAACGAAGCATGCGCTGTCTCACCGGCGCCGCACTGCGCTCAGACGTCTGGACTGGGCGCCTCTCTCCGCCGGCGCATCCCGCAACTGCGGCTGCCTCGCCCGTGAGCCTATCCAGCACCTCGCTCCCTTTGGGGCATGCAGCTCCTGAGACCATGACGCTCCTCCTCGTCCTCCTCCTCCTCCTCCTGCCTCCTTGCTGTTCCGTCCTCCCTCCTCCTCCCCCTCCTCATGCCCAGCCTCACCTGTGCTCGACGTGACGGCTGGTCGGCCTCCACGGTCCCGCGCGCTGGACACACGGTGCCCGCCCCGGCCTCCCCGCCACCCGCTTCAGGCCTCAGCGGCGGGGGGGGGAGATACTTCAGAAAACGACTCCTGAGAGGTCTTTGCAAGAACGATTCGCCGGCCATTCTACCGGACTCGGCTGGACGAGGCCCAGGATTTGGCCCAACGGAACTGGCAAAAGCCAGATTGAGCGGGATTGAGCAAAACTAGGCGCAAGTGGTCCAGATTCGGCTTGGGTCCGACCGAGGGAGGGAACTCCGGCTTTGGGTCGGCGCTCCTGTTCCACTGGGACGTGTGGGAAAGGGGCGGGGGGCCTCCTTGAAGGTCGGCAGCGTCTCCTGGGCGCGGACCGCAAGAACGAGGGGAACAATGCGGAGAGGGAGTGAGAAGGGGGGAGGAGGAGGAGCGGCAGCAGGAGAACTTGGACTGGAACGAGGAAAACAAGGAGAAGGACGCGAAGAAACCTCATTGCCCTCCTTGCTGTGGACGGACGACGACTGTCAGAATCGTTACTGTCACTGTCGGAGGAGAAGGAGGGGAACAATGACTACTGAAGGTGGGTATGAGGATGAGGAACGAAGAGGACGAGAAACCACGAGGACGAGGAAGGAGGACAGGAAGGATGTGGAGGAAAAGGAAGGAAGGGAATGAGTCACCGCTCTTCATCGAAGGGCGCGCAACCTGGGGCCGAACCCCCCCTTCCAACTCCGCCACCGATCGCGCAACGATCGCCTCGGCAGAAAAAAAAACAAATTGTCTGGGTGGCGGATTCTGGAAGCCCTGAACCCCAAAATGCTGACATCTCCTCTTGGGGGAACAACCTTTGCCTCCGCCAGATTCCGCCCGCTGTCCTCTGGCTCCGGCCAGGGAAGACGCCCCGCTTTCGCCTCCACCGGCACCCACCGAGGAAGAGATGACACCCCGTCAATCCCTCGAAGGCGAGGCCCTTTCGGGTCCTCTAAGTGTAAGATAAGATGAATGAGACAGCGCGCGTGGAACGCCTCGGGGGCGTGGTGGGCCATCTGGAAACCACCGCGGGCGTTCGGGAGTGATTTTCCGGCGACGCAGGCGCGATTCGGTGCCTTGCTGCTGGGCTATCCTGCAGGTGTCTTGGGGCACCTTTGGGGCCTCCGCGGGGTGCTTGGGCGCCCCTGGGGGGGAGCCTCTGCAACCGTCTTGCAGAAGCGAGTGGTGGTGCTTCTGGTGGGCTGGGTGGGAGCGTCGGCGACCCGAGAAATCGAACCCCGACCAAAACGTCGAAAACCAATTGGGAACATTGATCTTGGCCCCTTGGGCCCTGGAGGAGGAGGAGGAGGAGGAGGAGGAGGAGGAGGAGGAAGAGGAGGCGGAAGCGGAGGCGGAGGAGCAAAGCAAAGCATATAACTATCGGACCCAAAGTACCCTGAGCTACGGGACGTAAAAGGATTTGGATATATGTGGCTGCTGAAAGCGAGTTATCACTGGGAGGGGGCACTGTAGGCGGGGCAACGCACAAGCCTGGAGATGGCCCGTATGGAGGCACACTCCAGTGGGCGTCTCATGGCACCACCCCCGTGTACACAGCCCTCACAGCGACACAACTACGCAGATCCCCCATCGACCTGCACCCCTTCCCCTTCGCGTCGTGGGCTTCGCGAGCGCTTTGGAGACAAAGATTATGCCCTCATCGTGCGCGCCCCCCCATCAAGGCAAAATGACCGCCGCCTTCGGATGGGGCCGAAAGCGAAACCCCAGAGGCCCCAGGCACCACCCCCGAAGTTTCAGGGGGGGTGCGCCACGACGTGTAAGCTCAAAAATAACGAGCACTACCCTGGAAGGCAGGAGACTCAGGAGACAAAAATAACGAGCACTACCCTGGAGAGTGACAGGGGGCCGACTCCGAGAGGCAGGAGAGCGAGGGGGCCCGACCGAGCGATCGATCCCAGGACGACAGATCGCGAACGTACCTAAAGGCCGGGCCCTTGAATTTCTAAGTAATAGGGTGTGCGTTACGGAACGATAAGCTTGACTGTGGCATCTGGGTCGACGACGAAATATGTTCAACGCCACTGGAAGCGGCTGCCAGGAGCCGTTGAACTTGGGCCCGCCGACGCACTGCACGCTGTTCATCATCCTCAGGCGGACGGGCGGCAGGGCGAACAGCAGGTATGTCACCTCCAGTCAAGACACCAGCACTATCCCCTGCGGCGTTGGAGATAAGACCAACGCCATCCCGTGAACAAATAAAGGCAGAATCATTCATAGAGGTCTGATGCCCCCTAGCATACGATGGAAAAAAGCCTGGACCAATCCCCAGGTTCGAGACACAGGACGGACGCCACACCGAAGACGAGCTCACTTGCCCACCATGGAGTCTAGGAGCTTCTGCGCATCGCGCTCGAGCGCCCCCTTCGGGGCAGCCCCGAACTTGCGGACGCCGCCAATCTCGAGAAATGACTGGATGAGAGCGGGCTCGAGCGTCTGGTGCGACGAGTCCACTGCGAAGGTCACGCGGTGCATCGACGACTTGCCCTCCTGCTTGCGGGCCGGCCTGACACGGCACGCTCTCACACTGGTCGCCGCGGTGTCGAGGTAGTTCTTCAAGATGAATTTGGCTCAGTACTGGGCGAGCGTGGCCTTGGTGTCGGGAGGGGACGCGTCGTCGAGGCCGATGGTTCTGAGCATCGCCACCCACGCCTGCGCGAACGGCGGCCCCATCGGCTGAGTGTTGCTTTCGGCATTGCGCCTCTTGGCCTCCTCGTGGTAGGCCTTGCCAACAGCGGCTGCGGAGACGATGACGGCGGCCTCGGACGGGGCGAGAAAGGTGACGAACACCACGCCGCAGATCTCGCGAAGCTCGGCGGCGCTGCTGAAGAGCCAGGCGGGCGAGGATCGCGACGAGCGCCTTCAGCGCGCCGCCGTTGCCCTTCCCCGATTCGAGTGCCTGCTCGCGCAGACGGGCTGCCTTCTTGCGGGGCTCGCCCGCTCCGTCCGCGGACGACGCGGGGGGCCGCGGCCACGAGCATCCAGTCGGGCGTCGACTCCGTCGCACTCTTCAGGAGGAGGCGGGAGCGCACAGGGTACAAGATGAGCGCGCAGATGGACCTGCAAATCTGCCAAAATGCCTGCGGAGAAGGGGCAGAGCGGGCAAGTCAGACTCGACGGGGGTCGGGCCTTGGCTAGATTTCGGGTCCGATCTCACAAGATATGGCCCCGAACCAAACTCCGAGCTCGATGTCGTCGGGCACTCTCAGAATGAGCTAAAATAGCCAAGCGCGCAACATTGGTTGGTGGCCGTGATGGTCAAGGACCGAAACCAATGATGGTTAATGATATGGTCATGCAGTGCCCGTCGGTCAGGTAGAGACTTCCCACGTCGAGTGCCGTCCGCATTCATGATCATACAAGTAAATTCTGATGCACGCACAGCCTCACTCTCAAGCACAGCCGCAGAAGTAGAGACTGCCCAGGAGGAGGGGCACGCGCCGAAAGAGCCGACGCACGGAACTGACGAGCATCGGTCCGAAGGAATTTGTCAGCATAGTCAGGATCAGCAAAAAGAAGGAAGTAACGACGATCGAGACTCTGAAGCAACGCGGCCCCATCTTCTAACTCAGACAAGCTCTCGATGTCAGCTGCATACCGAGACGCCCACGAAGACAGAGTGGGGCTCAGACGGACACTAGGCAGAACAGCAGGCGGACGACCGAGCACATTGCCACCGAAGCACCCCGTCCAGGACCTGTCGGTGAGCCCGTGGAACTCTAGCAAAGTTTTGTCACGACCGAAGTCGACGGATCCGTGATTCGAGCTCGTGCGGGACGAACCTCGACCACCGAAGGACGGCCTCAAAGGTAAGAGAGGTGGGGTGGGAATGCTCGTGCCATGTCGTAGCCTGGCCTAGCATACCTTTGCGGCAATATGTAGAGACGGTAGTCTGTAGTCGATGCAATTGCTGGGGGCTAAAAATCTTAACTATCAGTAGACGGCGACGTAGCCTATGTGGAACACCCCGTAGCGTCCAGGAACCACCCATGGAATACCAAGACTGCCGAATAGGACTCACACGAGAACGAAGCTCGACATCGAAGTTAGTCGGGTTGCTGCACATCCAGGCGCCCGGACTGTTGGCCTCCAGGACGGGCTTCCCAGGGAACGTGATGCGACCAGTCTTAACGGATCTCGAAAAACTCCCAGAGCCCTCACCCCAGACATGTAACAGCGTGTCCTGCTTACTCAGGTTCTGGGCGAACCCCACCTCCGACAGGAACGAATCAAGAGAAGCGTTGGACTGTCGACTGAGCCCCGCAAGACCCTCAAGATCATCTGCCCGAGGGAGAGCCAGCTTTTTGGTCAAGTCATCTGCGTGCTTGGTGAGCGAGCAGTCCACTCGCTGCGGCAAGGTGGTAATCTGTCCATTCAGCAGCTCAGGCACTCTAGCACGCAAGATGTCGGCCAGCGGGTCCCACCGGCGCTGGTCGGCAAGCCATTCTTCAACAGGCTTGACGAAGGTCTTCAAAAAAGTATGCACTGCAAACTCATCCCCAATCAGCCCTCCACTCCCAGGTACTATGTGTGTGTCGTTGTCGTGCCCCCGAAGAGTGATAAGTGCACTGCGAAGCCTACGCAGGCCGAACTTCGAGGTGTTCTGTGTAAGAAAGCTCAGGGATCGCACGCTCCATGTGCGGCCTAGAGCTGCTAGCGAACGCGTTCGTGAGGCCGTGCGTATTCGTGATGTACCGATCGCCCTCCTTTCTTAGCCACTCACACGTAATCCCCTGGACGATCAGAGCGCACTCCCGACGGCGAAACCGCAAAAACCCATGGTCTTGATCGGTACCTTGCAGCGGGCTCTTCTGGGCCATTGCCCCTGAGGCCCATGCCTTGCCGAAGGGGTCGAGGAGGTGAATCCAGCGGGTTTTGCCGTCAGGCCGAGGAAGAGGGGCGCCACGACTGCGATTCCAGAAAACTGGGACCTGGCCACAAGCGCGAATCTGCGCATGTCCAGACACCAAAAGCTCCTGAAACTCTTGGAGATCATGAGGGCATCGATCGGCCCCAACTCCCAGAGAAAGGTTTGCCAGATTCCGCCGAAGGAAAAAAACAAGCCACCATAGTTCCAGCGGCGGGGGCCATTCAGGGGCGGCCCGTCCTTTCCCAGCTTTTGAAACACGGTATCGGATAGCACGAAAGTCACGCTTAGCAACAAGATAGTGGTCATCAAGTAAAGTCGTAGGCCCAGGAACGCGTGCAATCCACTGAGCGCGCCAAGCACGCCAGTCAGGAACTTCATGCGCATACATGCCCCCTTCAGGGCCAGGACGAGAAAGAAGCTCTTTCAGCTGCGCGGCATCGTCGA